CCAATCTACAGCGACACGTACGGCCCCGGCTTGGGTTTCCGTATGCCTCCCTCCTCCCCGCAGAAGATGGTGGATGTGCAGCCAGGGCAGAGCCCACACAGCCCCTACTCAGGCCCCCCCAGCCGCTCCTCACCCGTCCGGCAGTCCTTCCGCAAGGATTCCTGCTCCTCCGTCTTCATGGATAGCCCCGTTGGGAAGCCACGCAATCCCAGCTCCTCCGGCCCCCCAGAGCTGTTCCCTGGTCCTGGTGAGCGCCCACTCTCGGGGTTTGGGTCTCCTGGACCGGCCAAGGACACGGAAACGAGGTGAGATGGGACATGAGAGGAATTCGCTGTGGATATGAGTTTTGCTGCTCTGGTGGTTTTCCATCCCGTGGCTGCTGTGGAGGTCAGGAGGGAGCAGAGGAACTGCTCGCTGGACTATCCCCATCAGTGCCAGGATGGGGAATGGGGCACCAAGTGAGGGTTGAGGGGAGGGACTGGGGGTGCTGGAGGCAAGGGGAGAGAGGGAATGAAGCAGTTGGATGTTCCCAATGTCCTTCCTGGGGTTGCAGGGACATGGTGGGTGGGTGAGGCTAGGACAAGCTATGAGGACATGCTATGAGGAGAGGCTGAGGGAGCTGGGGGTGTTCAGCCTGGAGAAGAGGAGGCTCAGGGGAGACCTCATCACCCTCTGCAACTCCCTGACAGGAGGTTGGAGTCAGCTGGGGGTTGGTCTCTTCTCCCAGGCAACCAGTAGCAGGACAAGAGGGCACAGACTCAAGCTCTGCCAGGGGAGGGTTAGGGTGGATATCAGGAAGAGATTTTTTCTGGAGAGAGTGCTCAGACATTGGAATGTGCTGCCCAGGGAGGTGGGGGATTCACCATCCCTGGAGGTTTTCAAGCTGAGACTGGATGTGGCACTTAGTGCCATGGTCTAGTGACCACGGTAGGGTTGGACTCGAAGATCTTTGAGGCTCTTCAAACCTGGTTGATTCTCTGATTCTATGACTCTAAGGCAGACAGTGTGCACAGTGCTAGATCCAGCTCCTCAGCTATTCCCTCTCCCTTCCCCACCCAGGGAGCGGATGGAGGCGATGGAGAAGCAGATTGCCAGCCTGACAGGGCTGGTGCAGAGTGCACTGCTCCGCGGCTCCGAGGCTGAGACCCCCAGGTAAGGCACAGGAGGGACCCTGGGGTTTGCTGCAGGGCTGGGGATGCTTCCAACTGGGCTGTTTGCCAAGACTGGGGGTCCTGTTCCCCTCCCAGGGTACACCAACCCCCTCTGTGCCAGTGATGCTGGTGGTCCACACTCACTCCCCTTCTCTCTTTCATTGCAGCGAGAAGACAGAAGCCACCAACGGTGGGACCCCCCCATCAGCGTGTAAGTGCCTGGAGATAAACCTCTCACCCTGCAGCACTCCCTTCTCCTCCCCAGGGCTGCTAAGTGTTCCATGGTGGGCACAGGAGTGGAGCTCGGCAGCCCCCCATGTACTGGTGACCAGCAGGACCCCCTGTCCTACTCTGGGGTGTCCTCTCCTTGGAGCCTGTTGGGGGATAGCATGGATGGAGTAGTTTTGGAGACCACCAGAACTGCTAGATCAAAGGATGGGGTGGGGAAAGAAGAGGAGTGGGGGCTGCAATCTCCCCTGGGGTGGGATATCACCCCTTAGAAGCCTCTGCTTGGCCCTCCCGCAGCGACCAGCCGCAGTGGCATGGGGACACCAGTGCCTGCCCCACCACCACCCTCTGCCACCAGCACACCTGCAGGACAGCCCACGGCCATCACCCGCCTGCACATGCAGCTGCACCTGCACGACCTGCAGCAGAATGCCAGCGACCTCCGCAACCAGCTGCAGCAGCTCAAGAAGCTGCAGGTGGGTACCTGGGGGGAACCCTGACCTGGCCTGGATCTTACTGGGGTGGAACAGGAAAACCCTCATGTTCTGGTGACTGGGGATAGAATTGGAGAATCCTCAAGGCTGGAGGAGACTTCTAAGACCGTCAAGTGCAACCATTAACCTGTCACTGCTGGAACCCCTAAATCCTAAACCAGATCCTGCAGCATCAGGTCCAGATGCCTCTTAAACACTTATAGGGATGATGACTCCGCCACCACCTTAGGCCATATTCCAGTGCCTGAATACCCTAACAGAAAATATTTCTCGTAAGATCTAATGTGAATCTCCTTGGGCACAGCTCTGTGTCCCTGTGCAGAGCTCAGGAGGGGATGGAGCCCTTAGTAACAGAGGAGCTCATCAGAGCTCGCAACTCTTTAAGTTAACTTCTTAGAGTGCAAGAGCCCTCCATCCTGTTGTGTAGGAAATTGACCAAAGCAGGCTGGAAACCAGCATGGCTGATGTAGGATCTGCTCCTCACATAGAATCATCAAGGTTGGAAGAGACCTTTAAAATCATCAAGTCCAATCCTTAACCTGTCACTGCTGGAACCCCTAAACCATATCATCCAGTGTCAGGTCCAGATGCCTTTTAAACACCTCCAGGGATGGTGACTCCACCACCTCCCTGGGCAATATTCCACTGCCTGACCACTCTAAGAGGGAAAACATTTCTCCTACGATCTAACCTGAATCTCCCATCTCAGTTACGACCACGAATGGCTGTGGGAGAGCGAGGGGATCCCTCCCCATACCCACCTCAGGGCTGACCACTTGTAGGGACCTGTTTCCCATCAGGGTGTTCTTGCCCAGCCTGATTTCCCCCTCCTCACCCTCACAGCTGCAGAACCAGGAGACAGTGAAGACGATGCTGCGGCGGACGGAGACGGAGATCAGCGTGCGCGTGACCGACACCATGCGCAAACACGAGGACCCACTGCAGCGCCAGCGCAGCTTGGTGGAGGAGGAGAGGCTCCGTTACCTCAACGAGGAGGAGCTGATCACCCAACAGCTCAAGTGAGCCTAAGAGAGGGTCCTTGTACACCCCTCCAGGGGCCAGGTCCTCTGTGTCAGCTTTGCAGGCTGCCAGGCCGTGTCCCTGCATGAGGAGGGGTCCCCAACCCTGTGGCCACATCCTTTCTTGAGGAGATGTCCCCAACCCAGTGGTCCTCTCCTATCTGCTGCATGAGGACTTGCTGCCCTTGGGGTTCTCCAGCATCCCAGCACAGCAGTGACACCTGCAGTGACACCCCTGCCCTCCCTCTGTGCTCACAGTGACCTGGAGAAGTCTGTGGAGAAGATCCAGAAGGATTTGGCCCACAACCACCGGCTGATCCCTGTGCAGGAGCTGGAGGAGAAGGCAGTGGTGCTCAAGCAGCTGGGGGAGACATTGACAGACCTGAAGGGTGAGGATAGCCAGGGCTGGGGGACAAGTGGAGCCTTCCTGTGTCTCCCTGCTCCATCCTGGTGTGTGGGATGCTCCAGGTTGTCCATTGCCTCTGGCTCTGCATGTTTGCGCCTACCAATGTGTTCACCTGCACATCCTGGTGCTTGTTGGCTCCTGGTGCCTGTGGATGTGGAGGGAGCACCTTCAGGGGCTAAAATTGGTGCCTGTGGGTGGATGGAGAAGGGATGATGGGCACCAGGAGCTCAGGCTTCTCAGGATCCACCCCTCCTGCTCCACCTGGCAGCGTGTCCATGCCATGGCTATGATGGAGATGGACATGGGGCTTTTGGCAGGTGGGGGATGCCTTGGCACTTCCAACTGGGCACTGGGAGGGTCTCCCTGGCACAGTGGGGCCCTGGTGATCCCCAGTATCTCCCCTCCAGCCCAGTTCCCCAGCCTGCAGAGCAAGATGCGGGTGGTGCTACGGGTGGAGGTGGAAGCTGTCAAGTTCCTCAAGGAGGAGCCGAATCGCCTCGATGGGTTGCTCAAGCGCTGTAAGACGGTGACAGACACCCTCGCCCAGATCCGCAGGTGAGCCCCAAGCCCTGACCTCATCCCCCTGAGCACCTTGGAGGACACAGCCAGTCCCTTCAGTTGTCCTGTGCCCCATGTGTGTGCCAATGTCCTGTCTGCTTTAGGGATGCAAATCCCAAAGTCATCAGGGCAGGAGAGCATCAAGGGGTGCTCAGGCAGGAGAGCATCCAAGGGGTGTTGATAAAAGGCTCATTTTTTTTGCTAAGGACCCAAAAATACCTTCAGTCCTTTCCAGCAGTACGTGGGAACTCCTCTTTTCCATATCACTTGGGGAAAAAAAACCAGGATCACTTATCAGGATAGCAATCCAGCCCTTAGCGTGATCAGAAATCTCTTTCCTGAGGAACAGAGAATTATTCTGCTGGAGAAAAAGCCTCTCCCAGATGTAATGCTGGGCTGTGCACCGTGGAGGAGCTCACCTGCCTCTTCCCATTAGGAGACCTTTGGGGATGGCTCAGGGCTCGGCTGGGGCTGGGCTCGCCTCAGGCTCAGTTCTAGCCTGGTTTGCCTGAGAAATTAGCTTGTATGAGCATGCAGTGTCTGAACTGCCTAGCTGTCATCCTCGTCCCTAATAACTCCTGAATCCAAAGGGCAGCTTCAGCCAGATCTGATGGAGGGGAAGGATTTGGAGAGATCCAATTTCCTACGAGGTTCATCAAAACGGACAGACAGGTAGAGGAGCTCCTTCGTGTCCTCCCCCAAATCAAGGTGTAGCATCAACCCCTTTCCAAGCATCAGAGCATCTACACCTTCAGCCATATAATG